TTAACAGCATTATATAGTAGTTCAATGATTACAATACAGTATCTGATATTTTATATTCAAGACGTAAACGCAATCATCAATATAATCCGCGTCACACATCAATGCGTTTTTAACGTGAGAAGCATATGCATAATTTTTTTTACTTCACTTTCATCGCTTGAGACTATTCTTTTTTTAACAATACGTATTGAAAACTTCATATGTTTATAATCGATCAGATTCATTGACAAGGAGAAACGTTTTACCTGTATTCTCTTTGATTAAAGAAAAAACTTTTTAATAAAGAAGTCAAACAAATATAAATCAGTATTACCATCTAACAATTATGATGATAGAATTTCATTTACTGATATTCTCATCTATTTATTTTGGAAATCGACTATCATTATAGTTAGTAAGCGTCACTTTTCTTACAACTAATTTATTAGTAAATATAATAAAACTCTTTCAGTTGACTTTTTTTGAAAAAATCCTCTAATGAACTATAATATAAAAGTTTCTTCATATACACACCTTTTAATATATACATATATGTATATATAGGAACTAGGTCAGAAAGAGAGAAACGTGCTTATTGTACAGAATAGGTTATCTTTTTAGAGATCTACAATATATTCTGAATTAATATGTCATTAAGTAATGCCCATAACATATATCAGCCATTGGAGTGAGAAAATTAAAACAAAAAATCATCTCTAGCTGGTGTTGTTCTATCATTCGGGGGTCTTTTTTGTTTGACTGTTGGCGGTGGAAGTACTTTATTGGTTCAGAGTTTTGGTCCAGGTATACATAAAATGATACAAGCTGCAGTATTTCCTATTGGTCTTATTTTGGTTATTGTCACTGGTACGAACTTATTTACCGGCAACACAATGGTATTAGTTACATCAATATTACATAAAAAAACAACATGGATTAATCTTCTCATATCATGGAGTATTTCTTTCTTCCTTTGGAAATCTTGTTGGTTGTCATTGTTTTCAATATTTTCTCGTTTATCATGCAGATTTTTTGACTTATGATCCTTATCTATCATATACTATTAGATATGCTGAAATAAAAGGTAATATTCCACGGCATCAAATGTTTTTAAGAGGAATTGGTGGAAATTGGTTTGTATGTGCTGCATTTTGTTTGAGTAAAAGTGCATGTGATTTAAATTAAAACAAATCGGTATTTATCTACCAATTTGACTTTTTGTTGCTGTTGGATATGAACATTCAATTCACAATATGTTTACAGTACAAATGGGTATGCTACTTGGTGTTAATCTATCCATTAGAAACTATATTTTAAATGTTTTAATACCAGTTACATTAGGAAATATTTTAGGTGGAGGAATTTTCGTTGGTTTTATTTATTAGTATTGATATTTAGCGAAAAAATCTTTCAATCTTAACAAGCTTAAATTAACCAATTTATTGACTTATAGGAGAAGCTGAAGAAAATTTTCTCTTCAATCTGAAAAAATATAGAGAATCAACACTCTTTTTTTTTGTTTTAGCAATTACCACTGGAGATTTATGGGACATTCTTTTAATATATTTATCTTGCAATATATTATATATTAAAATATAAAATAATTCCATTAATTTTTCGAAATAATTAAAACTCTAATACGTATTATGAGATCAATTGAACGACAATGTTAATTCATTTTTTCACAAACATATCCAACCTTAGTGTGAGTCCTTTTTTAATTTAAAATAAAATAAATATATTTCGTTTTTCTTTAATTTTGTTGATATAATTTACATATTAAGTATGATATTTGAAAATATCTTTGAGATATATATTTCTACACAGACATGAAATTTTTGTTTCTTAGATATTTTGTTCATCATTTTTCTTAACCAATTCACCGTTATACAAGGTAAAAGTATTTAAATTTAGTTTTGTATATCTTCATCGTACTGGAAATTTAACTATGATGATTTTTTGTTATTGCAATAAATATTTTTTTAATACAAATTTTATCTATCACTCAAGTTAGAATCAGATATGAAACTCTGAGATTTACGTAATTTATATGGGAAGATAAAAATATTATTAGAGAAAACCTTTGTGTTTAAATAATAAGAAGAAAATATTAAAAAATATAAACAAACGACTAGTAAAATGTATTTGTGACCATGTCGACATATTATGTGATTACTAACAGTCAAAATATTATTGCTTGACCTAGTTATTTTACAGACGAATAAATCGTAGTTACAAACATAGGTGTCAATATATGATTAATATTATAAACGATTTATTCATTGATATTTTTTTTAATGTATTTTTAATTTATCGTCGATTTTAGATCATTTTGTATTTCTTCGTATATATATTCATTACTATGATATCGAGAAGAAAAAAAATATCTCATTTGTATCAATACTATGTGTATATATTTTGCAACGAGCATAATTGAATTGTAACTTGTTGAGAAAAGAAAGTTTGAAAATGACGTAACAAATAATATGCATTATCAAAATATTGTAGAAAAAATTGTAGAAATTAATAAAAATTTTATCTTTATTTTTTATAATATAATCTACAATCAATTGTTAGTTCTTATGTTTATTAGTTCAATTTTCTAACTAAAAAAACAACTATGTCTAAATCGATTTTATCATAATTAACAACGATCAGCTTTATTCATTATAAAACATTGAAATTGAGTATTATTGTACTCGCACCATTATCTGGTAATATTCTGTTATACAACGAGGTCCCATACAAGGATCGCAGATCATTCGTTGTCTAGGACAGCATACAGGAACAAATATTGGTGGTGGTGGACAAAATACTGGCGGTGGTGGTGGACAAAATACTGGCGGTGGTGGTGGACAAAATACTGGTGGTGGTGGTGGACAAAACACTGG